GTTCTGAATATAACCTATATTATCGGTTGGCTAGCAATAGTTTTCGCCAAGGTTTTTTTTCTCTTCTCTCTCTCTTTATTTATATATGAAAAAGGTTATTACAAAATTCTAAGTTTCAGTACTTGTAAACGTTAACAGGCTGCTTGGTTGCTTGACATTGGGAGACTTATTCTTGGAGTTGCAATTGGAATTAATATGTATCTGGTAATCGCTAAAATCTTTATTCGGATTCATGTCTTATAAATTTATGGGTTTGATGAATTTCATTAACATCTCATCCCCATATATAGGGACCTGTATATGTCGCAGAAATAACACCGAAGAATCTTCGAGGAGCACTTGTATCTCTAACCCAGGTAAATTTTGCTACTGAGTTGTTACTCGAGTCATTTTTTTAATCAACTTAAGTTTTCGAGATAATCAATTACTCCACTAATTATTTAATTGGATACGAATTTTTGTCCCAGATGATTATTGGTTTCAGCATATCATTTTCTTACATAGTTGGTTCAGTTGTCAGTTGGCGCGTCTTAGCTCTAATAGGTACCATTCATTATCATTATTCCTTTCATGTAATTTGAATGTAACATTCAGAACCTGATAATTTTTCACTATGTTACAAAGACAAAAAAAGTAAATTAAAAATAATTTATATGGATTTGTGTTGCATACAGGAGTTATTCCATGCTTAATTCAACTCCCTCTTCTGTTCTTCATCCCTGAGTCTCCAAGATGGCTGGTGGGTTTATATATCATGTATTTTAGACATACATGCGGGACATATATCAATAGAAATTTTCTGCAGGCAAATGTTGGCCGGGAAAAAGATTTTGAAGCCACCCTACAACGCCTCAGAGGATCGGAAGCTGATGTTTCTGACGAAGCAGCAGAGATCAGAGTAATGCTTCTACTTATTTATATGTCAGACTTCAAAACTAGTTTTAATGGTATAAATTTTAGGCTATGCTCTGAAACAACTCATCTTAAATCTTACTTAAATATCAAAAGAATTTTACTTACTTCGAACAACATCCTTTACTATTCTTTCATTCTTTTCCTCGAAAAGATAAGTGATTGATTATTTCTTAATTAACAGGACTATACAGAATCTGTCAAGCACGTCGCAAGAGACGGAATTACAGAACTGTTTCAGAGAAAATATGCTTATTCAATCATTGTAAGTCTTTATAATTTCATCAAAATTAATTTCTCCTTTTTTCCTTATAATAACTGTCACTTGATTTCCATTAATTCATACCTCAAATTCGTCGTAGATTGGAGTCGGATTGATGGTGCTTCAACAACTTGGAGGAGTCAATGGATACACATTTTACACCAGTGTAATTTTTGAATCAGCAGGTAAACTAATTGCGAAAATTTTGCTTCTCAAAGAAAATATATGGTGATGCAAATAATTCAATGTATTTTTTTTTTTTTTTCGATGACAGGAATTCCGATTTTCATTGGGTTCGTGACGGTAGCCATTGTCCAGGTTACTTCGAACCATTTCAAGAAAATCCGATACACATTTTTTCTCCAGCCATATTTCTGATATCTTTGATGTTTTTCTGCAGATTTTGATGAACATCATTGGTACAATTTTAATGGATAAATCTGGAAGACGGCCACTTCTACTGGTTAGCATCATATATAAAAGTTTTTCGCTGTTGGAATTCATAATCACGACAATGTATGTATACATATGCAGATTTCTGAAGTCGGATTGTGCCTCGGTTGCCTCCTCACAGGGTTATCATTTATCTTTCAGGTCCATAGCAGATAAATTTTTCTTCTTTTTTAATATTGTTGATTTTTTACATGTATCAAAATTTTTTCCTAACTCTTTCTTTTGAAATGAGCAGGACTTTAGTATGTGTACTAAGGCGACTCCTATTTTGGCACTTATAAGTGTCTTGGTAACGCGATTAACTTTTCGAATTTTTTCATTCTATACGATTTTTTCTATTAATATGTTTAAACTAATGAATTTGCATGAATTAAGTAATAACGATAACGTTTTTCTTTTCTATTCAGATTTATAACGGATCATACGCATTAGGGAATGGGCGGAATACCATGGATTATAGCCTCGGAGGAGTAGATAATTATTTTTTCGCTCAAGAAATGTGAAATTCTAGTTTCTGAATTTCTGATCCTTATCGTCGCAGATATTTCCAATAAATGTAAAAGGTTTAGCCGGGAGTATTTGCAACTTGGTGAATTGGATATGTTCCTGGATTGTGGCCTACGCTTTCGAATTCTTACTTGACTGGAGCTCAGCAGGTGGCGATGCCTATGCCTATCCTCGTACTAATTTCTCTTGTACGTCTAATTTTCTTGACGAAAAGAAATAACTTTACGTTAGAAATTTTCAGGTACATTCTAATTTTCGCAGCGATTACGGGTTCGGGAATCTTGTTTCTCGCCAAATTGGTGCCGGAGACAAAGGGAAGAACATTGGAAGAGATTCAAGCCTCCCTTAATAAGTTCCCATGATGATTCATATTTTGTTGTTTAATTTCTGGTTAGCAGTCCTTTTTTTATAATGCCTGTAGTTTTGACATGGATTGAGAAATAACCCTTTTTTTTTTTTTTACTATTCAAATTTTTTTTTTTTAAAGTAAAAATTATTTTTAAATAATTTATCAAATAATCGGATGATAACTCCGATCAAGATTAAACTCAACCGAAAACGATTCTTTACAGCATTAACGGATCAGATTCATCCCTGTTATTAATTATACTCTAATCATATAATCACGGTTCATGTACTAAATTTAAGATTATGTTTCTTTAAAATTTAAGAAAATATATATAAAATCGTTTAAATTTTTTTAAAAAAATAAAATTATAATAATAAAATATAATTATTTTTTTATATAAAAAAATTAAAAAATGGGTAAATAAATAAATAAGAAAATGTAGTTGTGGTTATCATCAATAACAGTGTGAGTCAACTTGGAAAAGTCTTCCCACTCAATTTTTAATTTATGTTCTCGCCGACTTACTGTTGGAAGCTCAGCGAGGTGGGGTTTAACGTTAATACAAATCTGTATGTTAATAATAAGTCACGATTAATTGTGATTAATTTTTAATTTATCACAATTATAATCCTAAAATTGACAGAGTATCGGCTAAAATATGTATTATTGTGTTGCTTAACTTAATCAAATTTTAATTATATAATCCAATTGAATTTAAATATATGTACAGGTGGTGTGATGTCATAGCAGATTATAGTGAGATTTGGGTCAATTTATTAGGTATCACCCAATGTTGTGTAGTGGGAGATGATGATGACAATTCAATTTGAGCCCAGTACGCCAAGCAATTAAAATAAATATTTTTGACGTATAAACTGTGGAAATTTCAATGAACAATCGTCACAGACTGTTAAAAATAATTTTACTCCTCTGTAAATTCTTTCTCTTTTTACCTTATTATATAATAAGTTATTTATTTATTTTTAATTGTTTGGAAAAGAAAAAAAGGAAATTACGACCACTTTGTTTCCTAGTCCCTACCATTCCCACTATTATTATATTTTTATATATTGTATAATATGTATATCTAAATCTATAGATTCAATGAACTTGGACACCCAATACAAGCATTTTACAAACCCAACCTTCTATAACATATATATATATCTTAGTTTTACAAAATGAAGTATCTATAGAAGTTGAATTTTTTTTTTTTTTTTTTTTTTTTGGTTTGATCTACTTGGAATTAGAATTTGAAAAGAACATACTCTGATTTCAGAAATTGAATTCAAAACTCATCTCTCTTATTATAATAGAGTATATTATTTTTATATTTGTATTTAATAAAAATTACAAAAATCAAAGAGAATTAACACGAGGAATTTTGACTTTTATTTTTTTTTTATAACTAAATTTATTA